CCAGAAAGATTTTCCAAATGCCTAGGAAAAAAAAAGATCCAACAGTCACAGTTATTTGTTTGCATTTGCAACTGCACCTACGGCTATTTCATCCATCTTCATCTGTAGTCACCTACATATCCCTAAATGATTTATAGATTTTGCAATATTTTAATAAAAGGGAAAAAAAAGGTTAGTGAATTCAGAACTTTTATTTCCTTAACATTTACCAATTTTCATCAGTGCAAAATAAAGACCAGCTCTTCTGTAAATAGGTCTTCAAAAAAAAAAAAAAAAAAAAAAAGGTACTTGGAAAGATAAAGGGCAATTCAGTCCTTCCTCTGAATGCATATCATAAGACTGCATACGAAATAATTACCATGAGTGAGGCAACTAGTTCCTACACCCTCTGCAACGTGGATGACATCCTTCTGTGTCATCAAAATAAAACTTACTTGCAGAAAACACACCACTTACTACCTTATCGCACTCACCTGAGCTCATGCATACAAAAGGAGAAGACCAAAGTCTTCCAAATCATCTCTCTCTGCAAAGAAATGAACTACAAAGATTTTAACTCTACTTCCTTCTCCAAAACTACTGGCACCAGGACAGGCATGTGATTTTATCCCTAAACAGGGTGTTCCTTAGGCTCTTTGCCAATTTAATTGGCTTATTCATATCCTTCCCTTCCAGATTACCTCAGGGTGATTTACATGTTGGAGGCCTATAAACACTGATGATTCAGTGCATGAAAACCAAAAACATTGTTCAGCATCTGACAGGGTCCTCACTGCCTTTTGCCCCCAAATTAATTGTTCTTATTGGAACGACCTAACATATAATCAACCTCTGACATCATTCTAATGTTATACAGACAAAAGAGCCTCTAAAATACAATGGAACTAATGTCATTTGTTTTTTACCGGCATTTCCAGGTTTCGGTAGGAGCAAGCAACAGGCGAGGTTTTCAAATGGGAAGATACAGATGCTCCCAGCCCAGCTTCTTCAGTTCACTGGTCATTTTGAAGACTGTCTCCTGATTCTCTGTGAATAAACCCCTCAGACCGAGCTCTAAAGAAATGCAAATACAAAGACAATTTCATTTCCTCTCTTTGCAAAACATAACTTTTCTTATAGCAGTTCAACAGCTACTTAATATGGTGTTCTTTAGAATGAGGAGGTGGACTTGCAGTCAATTCAGAACAAATTTCCTTCACGTATCGAACCTGAACTCTCTATCTAGGAAATATTCTGCAGGCCAGTTCAGGTGAACTGTACCTCCACCAAATACAGAAACACTCATTAACAAAGAAAAGGGTGAAAGGGGTTCATTTTGCCTTTTTGCTTATTAAAGTCTTGGACTTGCATGTATCTCTTTCTTTTTGTAACATGAACAGTTTTGATAAAACGCTCCAGAAAACTTTACAGGACATACTTCTCTACATCTTTGGTAACAATTTAATATATTCTTGTCTCAGTACCCTCACAAAAAGCAGTCACTCGGTGTCCCGTCAGGGGAAGATTACAACACTCCATATGCAGATTCCATTTTGTCCTTGTGCTAAATGCCACATTTCCATAATGTCTTTAAAAGCCACAGGTTGCTTTGTAAGGCAGCCCTCACCATTCTGGTACTTGTTTTCACAAGGACTTTAGCGTATCAGTTGCTAATAAAGTTTGTATTCTTTAATAACAGAGTTTATGCACTTAAATACCTGCCGGAGGATGAACACATCTCCACCATTACAGCTGAAATATTTCAAAGTCCAGCTCTTTTAAATCAGCGTAAATGCCTTAAAACTAGTTTCCCTGTTTGCACTGACAGTTGTGGTTACAGGTGTTACGCACTTAGAAGCTCCGCTTGGATATTAAAACTTGCACACAAATTTATTCATATTTGCATTCACCGACTGTGTTTATCTCCGAAAAATCTGCAATGCGTTTGTCATGCCCACACTGACTCTATACAACATGTTCATACAGAAGTTCCAAGCAACATCACAGAAGTTTTACAGTCCACGTATGTAAATGCAAGTGAGCCACTGCATGAAGCTTTTAATATATAATACAGGAGAACAAACATGTAATGAAACGGTGGGAAGAATGAGGGGTGAACTCCCTAGAATTAAAGCATATATGTACATAATTTTTGTAAACGGCAAGAATATTTCACTCCTACTGAATACTTTAAAAACATTTATACCCCACACAAACCAGTAAATAAGATTCAGATCTCACAAGAAGGCCATTACAGGACCTGATCATTTACAGTATGAGAGAGGCATTGCCCAACCGAGAGAAACAAACCCAGCCCGCACTCCAGACTCACTGCAGGAAAGTGGAGAGCTGGCAGCCCCGAGAGTTTCTCCTCTTTGATCCACAATGAAAAAGAATAATAAGGGTGTACGTACTCACCCTTGTCTACTTTTCACTTTCTTCAAGGAAAAGAGTTATGCTGATTCAGGGCTCTGATCGTGGCCCAGGAAAAATTTGTTCTTATACTCCCCACACACCAAATCTCTACTTTTTAAAAAGTTCTCAAGATTTTCTCTCCCTTTCCTTAATTGAATCAATTCTAGTAACAGACGCTTCTTTGTTGCTTATCACCAAAGTATTTTAAGCATTTTGAATCCTGTCTCATTCTATACTTGTTTCTAAAGGAGTCAGTTCTGGCCTTCAGCTCTTTGTTTTCTTTCAAAACCTTATTGAACGAGTTGTGCTCCTCTGCGTTCACTTCAAGGACACCACGTTTTCTTTTGTTATGATAACTCTCACTCTGAAATGTTTCAAACTTATAATCAAATGCAAAAATACAACTCTCTCTTCCATTTATTCTCCTTAACAGCATCCTGACGGCTGGGCGTTTCAGATAACCAATCGACAGGACATGCTTGAGGCAACAATGCAGAAAATGATGCTGAACCCTGGCTTGGGCAAGAAAAGCCTTTAGTGCATTTTTATTTGGGAATGTCCAGGATATGGGTCTGTCTTTACAGCTTCTGTTGCAGCAGGTCTGGCCCTCTCACCTGCACTGGGCCCACGTTAGCAATGCCTTCCCTAAAACATTAAAGGTAAGCATGTGTCAAGAGAGCGTGGGTATCACATAGAAAACCTGCTCCCGCTTCCACCCGAGTCAACAGGAAAACAAAACAGGCTCGGAGTCAGAGCTTTCCTTTCTTTACTCGCATTTAAACGTCAACTGATGTTTTATGTGGTTGTTTATTAAATAATAATAATACAATAATGCCCAGAGGCTCCAATTAGGACCGGGAAGTCGCTGCAGTGGGATTGTGCAAAGGAGGAGGACGGGACGGCGGGCTGGGAATTTGGGAGGGCTCCCCAGCAGCAGGGGAGCTTGGGGCTGGCAGCCCAGATCCTCTGGGCAGGCGGGAAGGGCTGCTCCCAACGCTCCCCAGCACCCGCAGCAGCTCAGCCTTTTGTTTGCCTGGGAGTTTGATGTTACTTGGGTTTTCGGTTTTTATTCGTTTGGGGTTTTTTTTTTTTTTAATGTCAAGATCTAGAGTAACCAGGAAGACATACAAAGAGGTTTTCTTCAAAGTAGCTGAGCCCGCAAAGGGGAAAAAAAAAAAAAAAAAAGAGTGTATGTAGATGTATATGCTAATTTTTATTAATTAAAACCAGAGTGCTGTGCTGGAGCTGCACACAGGCTTTATTAGCTAATATTAAAACAAAGGGCTGATTCGCCTTCCACAGAATTTTCACCTTGGCAAAGCTGTGCTCTGCAGCGGAGTTGCTGCTCGCTTCGTTCCAAGGCGAGCACAGGATCAGGCCAGGAGCCCTCAGGAAGGACTCGAAAGCCGATAATAAAACAAAAGGACAAACAGGAGGCACATGGGGAGGACAATCCTAAGGAGCGGGATAAGAACAAGCATGTTGCTCTTGGCAGAAAGCAACTGGCAAAAATTAATTGCACAGTCAGTCTCTCGCTCAGTTCTTTTTGTTTTGTTATGAAACAGGATTTGTTTTTATTATAGAGGAATGGGATATATTTCAGCAGAGGAATCCAAGCTGGATAGGTTTTATGGCAGAAGTACGTTTTATGGGGAGATTTGAATGAAGACAGGGTGGATTTAGTTCCCAAGATGGGCCCAGTTGCTCCAGGCTTAAACAAAAAGGGCAGCATGAATGAAAAGCAGGAGAAGGGAAGGAAGGATGTGATTAGAGGAAAGCTGGGCTGAACCAGAACGTGCAGGAGCAAAGACACAAATCCCAAATTAAAGCAACAGCAGAACAATGCTGGGCCCAGAAGGCGAGGCCTGAAACCAAAGGGATGAACAACCCAAGAAGGCTAAAGATGGAGCACAGTGGGGGAGAGATGCTACCGGTCGGTGAGGAAAAGGGAGGAGGAAGGTAGAGAAAACTTTATCTGCTGGAATGGGGAACAGAGAGACCCTGAACTGAGTGGAAAGGAGAACCTAAAGATTCCCCAGGAGAAACTTCTAGAAAGCTGGTAATTTATGAGCTTCCTCAGGCTAAAGGTGACCTAAGTCTGGGGAAGAATTTCGGAAACAAGGTCTGGGGTGGGGAGACAGGTTGTTGGAAATACTTCACAGAAGAACAAGCATGGCCTAAAACCAGAGTTCACGGGGGGCAGAAAAGGGAGCAAATGAGCTTGGAGGACAACAGAATTACCCAAAGTGAGAGGTAGTGCATGGGACTGGCAGAGAGATGCTATAGTGCACATACGTACCATCTGTGAAACCAGGGAGCATCCAGAGGTCAGCTCCAGAGGGAGGAAGGAGGTTCCTGAGAACAAAACGTAGCCAGGTACTCATCTGAAAAAAAGAGAAGGATGGAAAAGGCAGGTAAGATAGTGATAGAGAAGTTGAACCCTTAGTAAGTGATCTGGGAAAAAGTTTTCATTCAAGTCCTCAGTTCTTTGTTGTTCTTTGTAGAAAAGTGAGTTCGATAAAAGTGAGATTTTCAGCTGGCCTGCACTGTATCTACACACACAACCTTCCAAAGAAGCACTGGTTCTGCAATGAAAAGTAGGAGCCGACTTCTTCAATGCTCACACTGAACTACAGGGCTACGTGTTGCAAATGAATACGACCGAAGGTGCCTCAAACCTCCTCCTACACCTGAGGAAATTAGTAGGAAATAGTTAACATGTCTCTATCACCACTGTGTCCTGGGCTGGTTTGTTCACTACCATAGTGGCATGGAAGAAGAGCTTGACCTTCACTACATCTCAGCCTAACACAGTTGTGTAAGCTCATGGAGGAGCCAGGCTCCAGCCCAACAGCCGAGACATTCACAACTCCATGTTTGACTTCAATAGCTCTTAATTCACATGCTCACTATTACTCACATGATTAATATTCACCCTGTAATTTTTTTCACCATTCCAGTTCAATGAATTTTTGGTTGACTCCATCTACTCTCCAGTTAATATGTAATACCATACCGCTCTTTCACCCCTATAATCACTTATGAAAAATTAATTGTCCTACAAAGATGCAAAAGAACTTCTTGGAAAAAAAAAATCTTTGTTAAGAAGTGTAGTTTTTCTGTGCTAAAGCACCGTAGCAGTTTTTTAAGATTAAGTGCAAAGCAGAATTTGGTTTGGTGCAGTGTTTCTCCATAAATTCAGGCAGGAAATATTATATACGAATTTTCAAAACTTGAATTCTTTACAAGAGCAAAAGGAAGGAAGGTAACAGATGGGCATAATATAAATGTTTTTGTATTTAAATGTTTTGACAGCGGAGGGTAAGGTTGTGCAGGACATGGGGATGTAAGATCTTCTTTCTTTAGGTTGCAGTAACATTTCCAGTACCTCACGACACTGCCCTCCCTACACCCCATTACCTCCCTTTTTCTGGAGAACCTGCTCAAGGTTGTGATTGACAACGGATGGAAAAGTGCACTGATCCACACTTCGCTAGTGTTGGCACCTTCCTGAAATTGTCGAGGTAATTGCAGCAGTCAGAGCTGCGAAATTTTACTCACTGCTTCCTAATTATTCTCTATCCAGGTCCATTAGCACAATTCATGCGTATACACCAGTGAGTTTAGTAATTTTCCTTTTATAGCCTCAATGTATTATCCTGAATATAGGTGAACCCACTCAAATGGGTTATTACCGCTTCACCTCCTTGCAAGTAAAAAGTTTAGTTTCACCGTGACTTTGTTGTTGCCACCTTATCTTACAAAACGACTGCAAAGACTTCCTGGGTCATTCATGACAGTTTTGTGCCACTGAAAGCAACTATAGCATACAATCCCTTTCCTTAAAATATTAGGCCTTATCTAAAGATTTGGGGTTGATTTAATTTTCACCTACACTACTGCAACTGGAAGAGTGCTCTGGGAACTCAATCCCCTGGCAGTTATCAATCTTCTTTTTATTCCAGTTTGGATGAGGTAACTGCCAGCTCCTGTATCAACACAGTCTGCATCACTAAAACAGACCTTAAAAATCTCCTGAATTTACCTCCTTCTTGTGCTTTTAGAGAAAAACCATGGACTTCAATGGTTGGTTGTTTGGGCCAATAACCTTTAACTAACAATCATCCTTTAACTTCTTGAAATGAGTAAATTTTCAATTTCCTATTTTCCTAATCAGACCAATCACCTTTTTCTGGTTAAGTTCTGGTTTTAATGAATCTTTCCTGAATATCTATGAGTGAGAGTATATACAGTATTCCAGATGAAATAGGTGTTTTCAACGTCTCTTATATTGAGAAATACACTTCTGTATTTCTGCTGGAAATTCCTTAGTACCTTAGACCTAAGAAACACGTTTGTCCTACTGAAGGTCACTCCACAGTTGCAGGTTCAGGTCATAATTTTTGGTACAGTTTTACCAGCATTAAGGCAGCACCTAAAGAAGCAGAGCTGACCTTCACTGACCTCTGGCTTTCATTCCTGTGTATCCTTTCCTTTTTGCTAGTGCTATCTGCATGACCGTGCAGCAAAAGCAGACTGAGAAATTTATTCCATCTTTCTTTTGGCTGGTTTTCCTGCCTTACAATTCCTGCAGCTAATCCCCATTTTTTCATCTTAACTAATCCTTTTTCACTCGGCACCACACAAAACACTTCACTGAAGTCCTGACAGATAACCTCCCCTGCATTTTGTCTACAAAATCTACAGCTACACTGTGTGCCCGATATATCAGTACAAAACCTTCAGCATGCATGGCCAAATTCAAGTGGAATGACACTGCTTCAAGTGACTTTTGCTCGCTGGAGGTGAGATGGAACAAGTCCTAGAAAACAGCTCAGCTAACTGGCAGTCACCAGGTTTGCGAGCAGAATCACAGAATTGTCTACATTGGAAGGGACCTTTAAGATCATCTAGTCCAACCATCAACCTAACTCTGATAAAAACCATCACTAAACCATGTCACCAAGCACTATGTCAACCCGTCTTTTAAATACCTCCAGGGACGGTGCTTCAACCACTTCCCTGGGCAGCCCATTCCAAGGCTTAATAACCCTTTCCATGTAAAACTTTTTCCTAATATCCAATCTGAACCTCCCCTGGTGTAACTTGTGGCCATTTCTTCTTGTCCTATTGCTTGTGACTTGGGAGAAGAGACTGGCCCCCACCTCTCTACACCCTCCTTTCAGGGAGTTGTGGAGAGCAAGGTCTCCCCTCAGTCTCCTTTTCTCCAGGCTGAACACCCCCAGCTCCCTCAGCCTCTCCTCATAAGACTTGTTCTCCAGACCTCCCACCAGCTTCATTAATGAGAAATGAACCACTGTGTAAAGTGGGAGGAATATAGTTAGATGACATAAAAGAAAAGATAAGGGCTGTGAGGTGGACCCTGCATCAAATGATTAGCATGTCCCAAGGAAAAGGAAAAGGAAGCAGAGTCAAGATGGTATATAAAGAGAATGAGAGGAAGGCAGCAAAAAAAAAAGAAAACGAAAAACAATGGGGGAGTGAAGCAATGGCAGAGGAAGGGGAAAAAAAGAGAATGCATAAAGACTGACATTTTGTCAACTACGACATTTCCATCACGGTCACTGAAAGGGTTATTTTCCCACCCCATTCAGAGCTGAACAAAGGTCAAAACGTTGTCCTGCATCTGGACTTGTCTTTTTAACAGGTGTCATGCTTGAAGTGAAGATCCAATAAAATCTAGCACAACACCAGTTATAAATAAGCTCCCCCATTCCCAGTATTAATAAAATTTGTGGGTACTATTTATTTTTAAAATATGCTTATAATATATAATTTTAAAGGCACCCCATGTAGCACATAATGGGACACTGCAAATTGGTTATATAATAAGTAAGTAGAAGAAAGAACAATATAAACAGTGGTTTGCAGCCTTGACCCTATGGTGTTTCCTGCCACAATGAAAGTAAAAACACATGTTCCCTGACAACCATCAAGCACTTTGTCACTGCTGTTGGACGTTTTGCTGCCTCAGGGCTTGTCTACATGCAAAGCTACATTGGTTTAGCTGGCTTTAATTTGCTGCAAAGGGCCGTGTGAATTCTTATTTTGACTTAAATCAGACTTATTTCAGTTTAGCTCAACAAATTAAAGGTCAGATAAAGCCCGAGTAACTCTGCTGATTAGGACAATCATGGTTCTAATCAATTGCTTACAATTATAGCGCCGCCTGCACTGGCAAAAGCTTGCTTTCTAGTAGCTTATCTTGATGAAGTTTTGCCTGATTCCTCAGACTGTTTTAATTGACTTAAATTGTGCCTCAATGGTCCTTAGGATCTGCTGTCACATGAGTTACAGAATCTTTTCTGCTGTTGGTCCTTAGGATCTGGTGTCACATGGTTACAGAGTCTTTTCTGCTGTTGAATGCAAAATATATATATAAAATATTAAGTTCAGTGGGAAAGTGCTATTATAGATTTTTTTTTTTTTCCCAATATTGCACCCAAACACAAGCACTTCTCAGCATGCAGATGAGGGCAGAAGTGGCTGTCTTGGTCCTGTGTTGGCACAGAGCACTACAAACTGAACAAGTGCCTCATACATATGCTGAAAAACACGCAAGATTTCCTTAATTCAAAGCCTGCAAGAACAACTTTGCCTCAGTCTTCCCAGGTGAAGTGCTTGGTAAGAACACTTAAGACTATTGCACTAACATGGGGAAACTTATCTGCTTAGGGAAATGTAATGGAAATGAAGAATTAAATGAATGGAAAACCAGCCATCATTATTCCAAAGAAGAGTATCCACAGAAGGAGTTATACCGGTATAGTAATAGTAGGACAATTATAACACTGTAATAGCATCAGTACATTTCCTGAGCCTTGTTATGGAGAACTAGAACCTGTCTTTGCTCTAGAGAGGCTTGCCAGCATCCTCCTTACCAAGGAAATACTCCAAGTGCTTCCTCTACAGAGGAAAAGGCAACAGCTGAGGAATAATTTTGCTATTTTTTTCTCATCAGTTTTAGGCCAAGGCAAGTCAGGTAAACCTAAGGAGAATTTCACCTAATTGTCCCAACATCATCACGAGCTCTCTGTTACAGAAAGCAAATTATTAATTACTATTTCTATTTCTGTTGGGCAGAAAAGCTCTGCCAGGTCACCCTCATCACTTGAGACATCAGTGACGCTAAGAACTGCACAACCACAATGCCAGCACAGACATCAGATTTGTGTTTAGATTGTCTGGGTGCTGTCATGGCTTAATTAACAGTATATGTCACACATGGAGCACATAAAGCAAAAACTTGCTTCCAAATAGCAGTAAGGTTTGGTTTTTTTTTTTTTTTTTTTTTTATTGTCATTAGAAAAAGGCTGGCT